ATAATAATAATAATAATAATAATAATAATAATAATAATAATAATAATAATAATAATAATAATAATAATAATAATTAATGTTGGAAGGGACCTTGGAGGTCATTGAGTCCAACCCCCTGCTCAGGCAGGAACCCTACACCATTTCAGACAAATGGCTGTCCGGTCTCTTCTTAAAAACTTCCAGTGTTGGAGCATTCACCGCTTCTGGTGGCAAGGAGTTCCACCGGTTAATTGTCCTCACTGTCAGGAAGTTTCTCCTTAGTTCTAGGTTGCTTCTCTCCTTGATTAGTTTCCACCCCCGTTGCTTCTTGTCCTGCCTTCAGGGGCTTTGGAGAATAGCTTGACTCCCTCTTCTTTGGGGCAGCCCCTGAGATATTGGAAGACTGCTATCATGTCCCCCCTCGTCCTTCTCTTTGTTAAACTAGACATCCCCAATTCCAGCAGCCGTTCCTTATAAAAACTTTTTTTTTGTGACAGTCCACTTTTAGGGTTAATTGTTTCCTAACGCGATGTCCTGCGTTTGGGCCGAGTTGCATAAAATTGCACAAAATTGGAATACCCCAGGGATCCAGGGCGATCGGCCATTTCTGCACAGGAAACAGGAGCAAGACCCTGGGGGGGGGGGGAGAGCGAAAAAAATGTACACCCAGCCCAGGAGCCACCAGCTCCCCGTAGTTACTGCTCACATTTTTCTCCTCCTTTTTCTCAACCTCCTTCCGTCCTCATTTTTCTCCGGGAAGTAGCAAGGCTGTCATTTGCTGGTTGGAGATGCTTTGCTCCTGGCAAGCCCCGATGGCTCGGCTGAGGTAGACTGCCAGGATGTGCTTACACTACCAAAACAAACAAAAAAACAACAACAACACAAGAGAGGTAATCACATTAGCGGCCGGGTGTGTTGAAAAGTCTGCCCGATTGGCACAGAAGACAATGAACGTTGCCAATTTCCAGCTACCGTAACTTCAGCAGAAAATTAGGGAGATGAGCAACTCAATCAGAATAGAGCTGGAAGGGACCTTGGAGGTCTTCTAGTCCAACCCC